AGGACAAATATATTTTCTTAAAAGACTGGATGATAATCATTAAATTGGACATCCCAGTGATGAAGAGGTTAAATTAACGTTGCTTCTCCTCATTCCTTTTGCCCCTCCCCAGTGCCAGCCCCACCCCTACCCTGGAATCCTCCCAGTCTGTCCCCTTTGCCTATGAGAGGAGGTTGAGCACCATTTGGGAATGTGTGTGTGCATGTGGTCCAGGCATAGTTTTTAGGCAAGACATCAGAAATATAAATAGTTCCACAGTTTTACTCCCAGGAAAAACAAGATATGGTTAAAAAAAAAAAAGATTTTTCATAGTTGAAAGGTATATCTGCTTTTTGGGAATATCAAAATAACAAGCTTGATGTTGTTGTCTGTTTGCCTGTAAAATGGCCAGCATGAAGGTGTTCTATCGCAGAGACACAGTATTTCTTTCACCTTTGAATTCATCCCAGCACAGGAAAAGTTCCTGTGGCAAAAGCAACCTTCTCTTAATGAATGCCAGGCTATGTCTTCTTCTTTTTCTCAATGTATAAAAGATTATTTCATTTTTAATTCAGACAAACCAAACTATGGCAAACATTTCTGACAGAGTTTCAGAATGATGAGGTGCCTCAGAGAATGGGCTACATTTTAGATTTTCCAATAGAATTCTTACTCTAAGCAGGTCTCAGCCTGCTTTTGAAAGGCAGTGGGAGGTGCAGCTGCATCTTAGCGAGCCATTACCTGGGCCAGAGGTCCAAAAATTCCTAAGGATGCATCTGAAGGAGTTAGGTCAGATAAAGACATTGTCCAGATTAGACTTACTCTTTGCAGATGCCACTGTATGCTGCACTTTGGATAGAGGGAAACAAAGCCACTGAAGGCCTGTTGCACAATGAATGACAAAGGTGAGTTTGGAGCACAGTCTGTAGGACCCTGGTTGTGATTTAAATTGCCCCACAGAGAATATGAAGGGTTTCTTTCTTTTCTTTTTTTTTTGATATTTTGGTTTTGGTCATGGTACTGGGGGTTTGACTCAGGGTTTGAATTCAGGGCTTCATAGTTGTTAGGTAGGCACTCTATTGCTTGAGCCACTCCACCAGCCCTTTTTGGTGTTGGGTGTTTTCAAGAGAGGGTCTTGGGAACTATTTGCCTGGAGATGGCTTTATACTGTGCTTCTCCTGATCTCTGCCTCCTGAGTAGCTAGGATTTTAGGCGTGAGCCACTGGTGCCAGGGAAAGATGAAGTTTTTAATATCCCTTCCTGCTTATTTCTCATTTCTTTTCCTGTGTCCTTCATAATTTACCACAATTTCAGATGGAATGTCATTTAGACAATGAAAAACCATGTCAACAGGTATAATTCATCTTTTATCCTTTGTCTAGTCAATCTTATATATGAAAACCAGTTTTTCCTGTGCAAACCTCTGTATAATGCATGGCTGTCAGTACTGAATTCTGACCAGCATACTTTTAATTTTGGTGATTTCCTGAGACAGTTAGCAATGTCTTCTCCAGTGAGTCAGTGAAAGCCGTAGCAGTTTAGGACATTGTCCACTCAGGCTGTCTTTTTAATGTGGCAGAATCCTCCACAAGAGGATTACATAGTAAGTGGGCAGTGTTTTTCTTTCTCTTTTAATCTATAGGACTCTTTCTCAGGTTTTCTTTTAGTGTGAAATTGATGTTGAGTTGAACGTGTTCATTAAACTCAGTTCATGAGCATCTGGTTTATCCTCTGCTAAAGCATGGCAAGTCTTTGCTGTCGGGAGGTCATAGTTAGGGTGGGTAGTAGGCTGCATGTAGGAAGGAACTTGCAGTACTCAGCCAGAGCACTGCAGTGGGTGAGGGGTGGAAAGGCATTGTCCACCAGGTGATCTCTGATCTCTGAGCTGAAATTAAAGGGAGAGTAGGAGTTAATCAAATGAAGATCAAGGGAGGTGGCAGGCAGGGCAGCAGGGTATGTTTTAAATGGGGAGGCAAGTAGAGGCATGAGTTTGAAGACCCTGAGGATCTGCAGCCTGGCTGGTGCATGAAGTATTCTCAGTTCCTAGAATTTTTTATTAGAGTCCTCAATTTTTGCATTTCCACAAGAGAAGAATTCAAGCAAAAGCAAGAGCAGTATTTATTAAGAGAAGTGGAATTACACCCTTGACATCTAACCTTTGGAAGTTCCAGCCTTTATAATTGGTGTAAGGGGGGAGCTTTGTTTGAATCCCTCCCTCTTCTCTACCTCTAAGGGCATGTCTTCTTCCTGTGATTGACGTCTCCCTCATTATATAACAAAAAAATCATTCTATGCATGTGATTACCCACAACCATCTATGAAAAGCCCATGAGGGTCAGGGGAGAGAATAACTGCAGTTATGATAAGATTAAAATGACGTTACTGACCCCAAAGTAACTCTTGGTCACTCCAGCTGGTTTGAGCTGGAGCTGGTAGTGTGCTTTGGCAGCCTTTACATTCTTTTCTGTAACTGGATGGGAAGATATGTAACTCCTGTGTAGCTGATTGTCTTAGCACTCAAGATCAGTATGTTGCTAGGCATGGACTGAACACTCTGTTTCTCCTTGGCTCATTGCTATGTCTAACTGCATCTAACATCCCCAGCAGTATCTCATGGTCTGGGAACAGCTTAGAGATGGGACCTCCAGCCCAGACAGAAACTCTGGGAACAGGCCCCATGTGTGCTTCCACACAACCTCTGCAACTTTGCTGCAGCCCACCTGAGAGTTGCTGCAGCAAGGCAAGCATCAGACGGGCTGGGGTCTGCACTTGTATTTGAGGGTCTTGGGTAGTGTTGAGGGATCTTTATTGGGCAGCAGCCTGATTTTCATTTTAAAAAAAGCAAAACCTAAAAGGCCTCCCTTCATTTACAGTAGAAATGGCCCTGGTTGGAGTTGAGAGACTACAGACAGGAGTTGTAAGAGCCTGTTCTGACTCGTTTCAGCAAGAAACAGCTAGGCAGGCACCAGTGTGGAGGAGTGAGTTGCAGGCAGAGTTCTCTTTCCAGGCCTAAAGGTTCCTTCTGAGAGTGTGCTTTTGAGGGAAAGGCATAGCTTAGGAGACTGTGGTTTGAGTATTTTGGGAGCTGCTGAGACAAGGAGTGAGTGCCTAGGATCTGGAAGTCCACTGTTGAGACAGAGAATAGGATAAGGAATGACACATGGAGGGAAGATAGTCAGTTTGTCTTGGGCTTGTTGACACTGTTGGCACTCTAGGAAGAGTGGGGTAGTGGTGAGATGGGGTCCTAGAGAGACTCCAGGCTTGTCCCAGGTGTTGTGCTGACTAGCTATGCAGTGGTGTTTACCTCTCCAGCTTTTTCTGGAGTAGTTGTGTAATGTGGGGATGATAACTACTTGTAAAGCTGCACAGGTTCCAAGAGGTGCAGGATAATATGTTTCCCATGGGAACCAGTGAGGACCAGCAAGTGGCCTGTTCCTCAAACTTGTGTCTGAACTTCAAGGAGGCATGGGCTAATGATAGGCTTGGAGCCCTGGGTAGAGGGCTGTGGGTGTGCACTAGGGCAGGACCAGACCCAAGGAATGCCAGTGTTTTGAATGGGTAGGAAGAGAGCATCTTCACAGAGGAAAGAAGACCAGGTGGGGAAGAGCTAGAGACAGGCATGGACCAGATGCAAGGAATGCAGGAATGTGAGGACAAACAGGACCCACTGGGTCTCATAAGTAGGAGATCATCAGTGGCGCTGGCAGCATTGTCTCAGTGGAGCAGTATGGACTGAAGCCATACTAGGGGACTGAGTGAGCGAGCAGGGCAAAACTGCTACTGTCTGAAGGCAGGAGAGAAGCAATAGCTTAAGTCCGGGGGGCTTGAGCACAAAGGAGCCCAGATGAAGGACCAGTGGTTATAGAAAGGTCTCTGAGGATTGGGGCCAGAAATGAAGACAGGTTTTCCAACAGGGACATTGGACCAGTGGCCATAGAGAAAGTGGCAGCTGCTGGTGAAATTGGGAGTTTTAGACCACAGATCCAAACTCCTGGGCTTCCGTATCTTAGGTCCAACCACTTGCCCCCATACTCCAAAAAAAGATGGCGGTGGTGAAGAGCATAGAAAGATTTATTAAACGGCCCAGACATACCATAGGATGAGGTAAAGTAAGCACTCAGCCCATCTTTAGCTATCTTCAGGATACAGACATAAGCTGTAGGCTTAAATAGAGAACTGGGGGCAGAGGGAAAGAGGTACACATTGAAACAGTCACAAATGTGGTTGTGGATTCAGGAGAAGTTATTATCCACAGTCATTGTCACCTGGTGGGTGATCTATCCTGAAGAAAGTCTACCATTAAGGGATAGTTTCTTTCCCTTGTGAAGATGTTATCAGTTCTCTTCTTCCTGGAGTCCAAGATGATTTCAGAGTGACTGCAAAGAGAAAGGCTTACAACAAAGACAGATACAACATGACGGCCTTTGCTTCAGTAGCTCTGCTAAGTTTTTCTCCTGCCATTTAGTTAATTGTGGGCCCAAGTAAGGAGTCATTTCTTAGCAAAAAGCAGTTTAAAGCATCTCTTATGCTGCCATTTGACAGCTTCAAGACAGACTGAGTGAGAATGTTGAATAAAAAATTTCACATTGCTTTGATGAATAAAAAATTCATGTCAAACTGAGTTGTTTATAGCAATTATTCATCCAACATAGAAACTTTGTTCTATGTTATTGCTACCAGTTTTTAAATTGTATAGTGTAACAGTTTTGATAGTGGATTAAAATAGTGAGTTCAAGACCAAAATGTACTCTATCATATTCCAGCAGTTTTCTGTAAATATTTTCTGCATTAGTGGGGAACAGAATGGAAGGAGGCAGGCAGACATAGTAGCATCTGTCGGCTGGTTCTACAGTTTTGGCTCTTACTGGAACGAGTGGGTCACCATCAGACTGGAAGTAGGCAGCAGCTGTTGTTGATCACAGTCACTCTAGTCCCCTGGGTGAGAGGATATACTCTGGGTGCAAACAAGCACTCACGGACCACATGAGTGTCGTACCTACTGACCTACTGTCTATCTTCAGATGGAGCTGGCACTGGCCCAGTTGTCAAGGAGTGGTTTGTGTACCCTGGGAACCCGCTGAGGCACCCGGACCTTGTAAGGCCTTTGCAGATGACCGTTCCAGGTATGGACAGCCTTGATCTATTTTTTATAGTATGTTATTCTCAAAATTGGATCTAAGCCAGGCATGGTGGCTCACACCTATAATCCTAGCTTCTTGGGAGGTGGAGATCAGGAGGATCATAGTTTGAGGCCAGCCTGGACAAAAAGTTAGCAGACCCCATCTCAACTAATAAAACCTTGACATGGTGGCGCATACCTGTCACTCCACCTAGGTGGGAACATAAATAGAAGGATTGTAGCCTATCTTAAAAATAACCAAAGCAAAAAGGACTGGAGGTGTGATTCCACCTCCAGTGGTAGAGTGCCTGCTTAGCAAGTGCAAGCCACTGAGTTAAAACCCCAATACCACCGAAAAAGAAGAAGAAGAAAGAATGGATCTGTTGTGCAAATGTCTGTTTTCAGAACTGCATGTAAACTGATTTTCATTTTAACCCTTGGCCCAACATGAATGTGTCTGTCTAGTAAGGTGCTAAACAGTAGCAGACAGGACACTGTAGCAGACTGTTGGATATGAGCTGTCCCTCCAAAAGCTCTTATGTTAGAAACTTGTTTTTTTTTTTTTCAATAATTGTATCCTGAAAGTTCTGACCTAATTAGTGGATTAATTTATTGATGGAGTCATAATTTGATGGCTTTACTGGGAGGGAGGTGGTATGACTTAGGAGATAGGGCCTAGGTAAGGAAGGGTTGTCACTCTGGGCATGCCTGTGAGGGGCCATATCTTGTGGCTCTTCTCTGGTCTCTGCTTCTTGGCCCCCCATGAGCAAAGAGAGCAACTTTACCACATGCTCACTGTCATGACATTCCACCTCACCACAGGGCCCGAAACAGCAGAGCCAGCTGACCATGGACTGAAACCTTTTAACACCGTGAACTGAAATCTTTCCTTCTTCAAACTGTTTCTCTCAAGTATTTGTCATAGTGACAAAAGTCACCTTAACACATGGACCTATCCTGGATCAGTCTCCTATGTGGCTCTGCTTCTCTTCCTCCTGGCACTCAAGGCCCAGAGCAGATTGGGTGGTTGTGGTCAGAGGCCACTGTTGCCTTGAGCCCTGCCTCACACGTCGTGTCAGTCAGTAAACACGGAATTTTACAAGATTGGGTTCTACATACTTGCTTGAACCAACCCTTCAGAAATATATTTTGATGAGCAGTAGAAGTAGAAAAGCAAAATAAGAGGTTTATTAAAAATAAAATAAGTTTTCATGGCTGGCTTCTTGGAATAAGAGGGAGGGAAAAACAAAGTTCACCAAAAATTACATGAAGTAAATCAAAAGAGCACCCTTTCTCCCCTGCAAGTTCTCAATATCTGAACCAGGTGAGAAGTCCCTTTACTCTGGCTAGTCCTACATGTGGACAGCTATAGGGGAGGAGGATCAAGAGTGTCCAGCACTTGTATCTTATGTGTGGATACTACAAGGGAGGAGGGTCAGGAGTGTCCAGCATTTGGACTATGTCCTATGTGTAGACAGTTATAGGGAAGGAGGATCAATAGTGTCTAGCACTTGGGCTGTGTCTTACGTGTGGATAGTACAGGGGAGGAGGGTCAGGTATGTTCAGCAGTCAGGCTGTGTGCTACATGTGGACATGTTATATGTGTAATTTCTGTCTTACAGTACCTCTCCAAAAGTACTGCTAAGCAGATTATTAGTTCTCTTCATTGTTTGAATTAAAAAGAAGACTGACTATTCACTGTACCATGAATTAATCTTAAAAATCACTCTGTGTCATGTTTTAATAAACTCTTAAGAGTCATGTAAGGATCAGCCTCATGGGACTCTTGAAAACATTCTTCTTGGCACTTTGGGCTATAAAGCTGATGTGCATGCAGTACTGTGGACTACTGCCAGTCTCCCTGCCATCAAGGGCATGGCTTGCAAGCTAAATAGACTGTGAACTTTGTGGCCAGTGTTTAGGTGAAGGACTTTGAACTTAATTTGCTTACTTACTTTCTCTGTCTCTCTCTGTCTGTCTGCCTCTCTCTCTCTCTGGTGTTACTCAGGTTTGAACTCAGGGCCTTGTGCTTGCTAAGGCACAAGCCATGCCTCCAGCTCTTTTTGCTTTAGCTGCTTTTCGAATAGAGTCTCCCTTTTGTCGGGGGCAGACTTTGAACAAACCACGATCCTACCCACATCTCCCAAGTACCTGGGATTACAGATGTGAGCCACCACACCCAGTTTTGTTTGTACTTATTTTAATGATAGATAAAAGGGAAAGATTTTAAAATTTAAATGTTTTTTAAATTTCTCATGGATATGAGGAAAATTGGCAAATGATTTTAAACCAAAGTGGCCAGAAGAACATCCAGTTTCCTGTCACAGGAATTCTCACTTAACAAAGGGCAGGATACAAATAGTGGGATCCTACAGACTGACCTCTACTCCCTCAGTCAGGAAAGCCTGGGAGGTGCTTTGTTGCAACCTTGGAGCCACTTGTATCCATGTCAGATGACAGCAGTGCTGCTCAGAGTTGAGTGTTTCTTGGTTTTTCTTGTTCTTCGGAGGTAGTTTCCATTGCCTATCCATTCAGTGAGTCTCTTCTATTCTTTTTAGACTTCTTTCTCACAGCCCATGTGATTTACTGTTTTGCTTTCTTGAATGGTAGAACTAAGAAAGAAGTTCTTTTCAATAGATACTTCTCAACAAAGTGGAAAGAAGACAAGAAGTTCCAAAAAATATAATAGACTCCTTAAAAATTAGGAAGGGAAGCTGAGCATGGTGGTTCATGCTAGTAACCCTAGTGCTCAAGAGGTGGAGGATCATGAGTTCTAAGCCAGCCTGGTTGCATAGAGAGACCTGTCTCAAAAATTATAGATCAGAATGGAGTGGAGCGTAATAATCAGAAAAAGAATTCTCATTCCTGGTTGCTAGGGTCTGAAATATTTGTGCTCTTCAGATTTATACATGAAACCCAATCACTAATACAATGATTGTAGGAGGTGGCGCCTTTGAGAGGTAAGTAGGTGGGATTTGTACCCTTATAAAAGAAGCCACAGAGAGCTGCTTTGCCCTTCCCATTGTGAGGGTACAGAGAGAAGGTGCCACCTATGAGTTGGGAAACAGGCCCTCACCAAACACCAGCCATGTCAGTACCTTGATCTGGGGCTTCTGGCTTGCAGAACCTGAGAAGTAGGGCCGTTTTAAGCTGCCCAGTGTTTTGTTACAGTGGCTCAAGTGGACTAAGGCACCAGTCTGCTGTATTCAGGGAGCTAATTTTTATGTGTGTGTTCTTATTCTGTATTCCCATATTTATAAACATGCACATGTGTGCACATGTGTTGGATATAACACTGCATTCCACTTTGCAATGCATTGTGAAAGATGATGTTTTGTATAGCATGAAAAGGGGTGCCTTGGAACTTAGCTTACTTCCATGTTCTAGTTGTGTGCCTGTTTAATCTTCACAGGCTGCCCTGCTCTCCTTTCCTCCCTAGCTCACTAACATTCTTCCTTCTGAGGGTAAGTCTGGAATAGCCATGTCTATCTCCAAATCTAGAGGATTTTCTTTAGACAGTGTACAGGTGGTTTCTTCTCAGGGTTATTTTTGAGTCATTATAACTATATTTTAGAAGCCTAGACAAGCTGATTGTACATGTCTAAGTGGTAATTTGTCTGTCTTGAGTGACTGTTAAGTCTTACTCAGCATTCAGTAAGTAAGCTTACTATTTCTTGGCTGTGTAAGGGCATTTGACTTACCAGAGGTTTGCAGAGTATATTAAAAGATTTATAAAGTAGGTAAGGTGAAGTGATACATTTCATAGAAAAAGCAGTGTTGTTTGACTCATTTTGTCCTTGCTTTCTTGTTTAAGCTTCTCTTTTGTGTCCTGTTAACAACTCTCTCCTGAGAGTTAATGTGTACAGATCAGGAAAGTATTGCTGCATCTTGGGGGTTCCTGCGTGTACACACTGCTATATGGCCACCTGTCTCTGGTACTCCCTTCTCAAATCGTTGTGGACCAAGATAAATGGGCTAAGTTACAATAGTGGCTTCTCTCCCATTTGTAGAAATACTGTGAAGCTTTGTAAAATAAATGTGTTACAAATACATATTGTAAGATAAGAGTTGCATTTTCCATTCCATTTTTATAGCCACGATGACTATGTTTTGAATGTATTAAATAGAACTAGTGTAAATGTCTTTTTGCAAGCAAAAACTTACCCATGTATGTATAGAGCTTTGTATATTGAGATGCTAACTTGGTCTACTTCATTTATATCTGTAATTTTTTATTGTTACAAATAGCCTATTGAAGTTTATCCAGCTAGAATAAAGGTTCATTTTGCATGTGTATAGTCAGGGTTTTTATTTATTTTTTCTTTTGGCCAGAAATGCTCTACTCAAAAAGATAGCTAAATGGATATTTATTTAAATTGAACCTGTGTATTAATACCAGTACAAATCAACTCTGGGAGTTTCTTTTCACAATCCTGACTGTACACAAACCAGGCAGTTCTGTGGATATCCTAGGAATATTCAAGGCAAATAACTTTAAGGTAACTAACAACCCCAGCTGTTAAAATGTTTTATTTTTATATAAAGAACACATAGAGGTGTGGAGGCTTAGCATCTTTATCCATTTATACTGTATGTCTTTGTCCATTCACTTTTATGGCTGTAAAAACACAAATGGAGCATTGTTACTAATGAGGCATGTCCACACCCTTCCCCAAGACATTTCCTCAGGCAGTCTTTAGAAGTGATCTCCCCGGCTTGGCCTGTGGGACTCTGTTCCTCTAGAAGAATCCCACAGAGACTTTTACCAAATATGTAATTAGGTTTTCAAAACTGGGATGCCTTAGGTATGACCTGGAGACCTGAGTGTTTTTACTGGTCTCTGGATCTCCTTGAAAATGCCTCAGCTGCCCATGAGCTATGGGGAGATGGATGAGCCCCTCTGGTCCTCCTTGGCAGTCTGTCTTGTTCCATGACTTAGAGAATATGAGAATGAGAGTATGAGAATGTCTGTAAGAGTGAAAGTGAATGTGTAAATAAATGTATTTATGAGAATATGTGAGTGTGTTGTTTTTGTTCTCCTCCCACACCAGCTAGTTCGAGCCACTTTCCTGAGTTGATCTGCCTTCCAGATCTGGTTGGAGCATGCTTCTTCTGAACTGAAATACCTTACAAACTACTATCAGTGGGTAGTCTCAGCCTCTGTAGGTTATCTCTCCAGAGTTAACCATTTTTCCTACAGCAAGCTTACTCTAGAAGAGAACTAATCAAAACAGTTCACACCCTGCCCTGGTGAAGATGGTAATTGGAGACTTACTGGCTGAGATGTACATCTCTGTGTGGAAAAGGAACTAACATCTTCTGATGAGGAAAAGTAAAGTCCTGTAACCAAGGTCTAGTGTAGACAGAATATATGGACAGCTCCATATATTCTGGGGTGTTCCGTACATAATGTCAGGAGGCAAGGACATTTTGTTGGAAAAACCCCACAGTTTCTGGAGAAAACCCTGAAGATGCCTTGCCTCTTACATTCACATGTACATAGGCATTCAGTACTTCTCGACTAAACAAATTATCGATTGATCTTGGGGTAAAATTTCTCCGATATTAAGAGATTTATGAGAATGTGGCTTTTCACTCTGGTGGTTCTCTAAAATGTTAGATCATTAGGCCTCCTCAAGGATCAGTTTCTGTATTGGTAGGCAACTCTGATTTGTCTGTAAGCGATCTTTTGCTGACTGTTTGTGCATGAAAATCTCCTGGCCCATGTGTTAGAACACAATTTTTTCTCCGCTCCTCAAGTCTCTACTCATGGACAGTGAAATGGACCCAAGGTTTTGTACTTCTAAGTTCCCAGATGATACTGTGGCTGTTAGTTCAATAAAAGACATGGGGTAAGGAGTAGAACCAATCAGTTCTATAAATTGTTGACTAGCTTTTGTTCACTGATACGTCACTAACATGTCATAGTTTTCAAAGGCTAAGAGCCAAAGAAGTCAAGCCTATCTATTCATATGCACTAATGCCTATAGTTCTGGGCTCTCTACTATAAGCAGCCACACACTGTAGTGGATGTCACTACCTTCCTTCCAGTCCAGATACCACAAATCCAGCCATAGTTCTCAGCTTCCTTTAGACCCACCTAAAATCCATCTGCTGCTTTCCTCCACACCTTGCTGCCCTCATCTCATTTCCCTTTTAATGTTCCTCCAGTCAGTTCCCACTTCAGCCAGAGCCCTTTTTCATAGCACAGACCTTATTATGTCATTCCTTTGGCATCACCCTCCATTGTCTTCCTATTGCTCATAGGATAAAGTCCTTTGTGGACAAGCTTCCCTTCCCCTAATACCGCCTTCCATCTTCAGTCTCAGCTCTTTTCTTCATGACACCCCTTTGCCGTGGTTGTATCATCTCTTCAAGGCTGTGAACTCCCAAGGGTCAACACTGAGTCTGTCATGTTCCCAGTTGCATCTTCAACATCCATGGGCAGTTATTCAGAAGCAGATGTGCTGTGAATGATTTGCTTCCACTATACTTGGTTGTGGATATAGTCCCTAGATCTCCTTTTTTTTTTTAATGTTCAACTTTAATATGCAGGCAAGTGAACCACAAGGTGAAATCTCCCATTGCTTTTCTGGGTGCTCTGACAGGACCCTCAGCTGTGTTCGTAGTTGTATAAAAAGTGTATAACCACTTGATGTTTGGACAGATGAGTAGGTAGAGAGGTAGGAGAACAGTAAGAGCTCATCACATGTCCATCATTGCATCCTTGCAATCCTAGAGTGTCCTTCATGCAGCAGAGACTGTCTAATGTGCTAATTTGTGAAAATCTCCCCAGGCCCCTTCCTTGTTTGTTACTCCCTCTGACCATCATTGTTCCTCTGATTTTAAACTTTTTGTTCTTGAGTTAAAATTTGTTTGTATGACCTTCTCCTGTAAGCTCTTCCAAGGCAGCAACTGGTCATCTTTCATGTAGGCCACTGGGAAACCTGATAGAGCACCTGGAATTATAGGCATCAACATGTATGAGTGGAAGGAGGAGCTTCCTCAAGTCTTAGCTATCACAGAAACTTTGTGAAAGAGAGATACGAGGTAGGGGTGGGGAGGAAGCTTGTTAACAATTGTCTGGTTTTATGTTTCTTTCTCTTCCTTTTTTTCTCCCCACTGGGGATGGAACCCTCAATGGTGCTAGGCAAACACTGTCACCTGTGCCACACCCAGTCCTCTCTCCTATGTTTTATTAGTTCATTGAATATCTAAGGTATCTCTTGGATTTTGGCCTTGGAAGGAATCACTAACAGGGGCTATGTTAATTGTTCATTCAGGAAGTCTCTCATTTGTCACTTCCACTGTAATTGGTTCTGCATGCACTCCTCCAGTCTTCATGTATTTATGTTGAACTTTCATGTGCAAGCAAATGGAACACAAGGTAAAATCTCCCACTGCCCATCTGGGCACTCAGACAGGACCTTGGACTGTATTCATAGTGTTTTATGCACATTGAAAAAAAAGTGGAAGCTGTGTTCCAAAATACAGTAGTGTCTGGGTGTTTTGTAGTCAGAAAAAAATTGTTTTCTAAGTAGAGTACTTTATCTGAACTGTGGTGGAAACTCATTATCTCTCTTAGAGGTTTGCAAGCTTTTTCTTTAAAGGGCAAGATAGTAAATATGTCAGGCTCTGAGGACCCCATGGGCTCTGTTATTGACTTATGTTATCAAAATGTGAAAGGAGCCCAAAATGTGAAAGGAGCCACAGATAGAGCATGGTGGCATTCCATTAAAAGTTCATGAACATTGAGACTGGAATTTCATACAGTTTTCTTGTACTAGGAAATACTAATTTTCCTTTGATTATTTTTTATTCATTTAAAATTAAAAATGATGCTTGGTTCATGGGCTGTGTAAAAACAGGCAGCAAGTTGGATTTGACTCAGAGACAGTAGCTCCTGTCTTAAACATTGGAATGTGTTTCTAAAAGTCTCAGACACCTGTGATTATCTTAGATGCTAGCTCTATCTTAAGTACTCCAGTGCCATAGATGGCTCAACTATCCTTTTTCTGTCAAGAGAAAAATAGATTTTTCTCTCAAATAATGAAAAAGCATTTTTGGCAGAGGAAAGGCTTCAGCCTTTTCAGAAATGCTGCTGACTTAGTCTGACTTAGTTGTTTTGCTGATGGTGCTGGGAAACACACTACTGAGAACAGTGAATGACAGGTGAGAAATGAAGGAAGAGAATTTACTTTAGAACCATTCGATTCTTGTACCATTTGGTTATCGGGTTTGTCTCCTTGGTGAGCGTGTGGGATATTTCACCCCATCTGCTTTGTGCTTTTGGTGTTTGGTATACAGTCATGGCCCCAACAGAGAACCAGCTGTTGGGAACAAGAGAGATGTGTTATTCACCACAGGTCTCATGCTGGCACCTTCCTGTTTGTCCAGAGCTCTGACATCCACTGTCTCACCCAGACTCACTGTGGCTTGTCCTGATTTAAGTAAATGAGTAAGGGTTTCTCTTTTGACTTTTTTAACTAGCTTATGTATAGAGAGAGAAATGAAACACTTAAAATTACATTTTAGGAATTTCCTGGGCTGGGGGGTGTGGTCAGTACTGTTGTTTGAACTCAGGGCCTTGCACTTTGCTAGGCAACCACTCTATCACTTGAACCAAGTCCCCAGCCTTTTTGCTTTAGTTATTTTTCAGATAGGGTCTCATGCCTTTTTTGCTGGGGCTGGCCTCAGACAGCAATGCTCCTACCTACTTTTCCCACCTAACTGGGATTACAGGCCTGTACCACCACACCTGACTTATTCTTTGAGATAGTTTTGTTAACTTTTCTGCCAGGGCTGGCCTTAAGTAACAGTCCTCCTGTTTTCACCTTCCTAGTAACTAGGATGACAGGCATGAGCCATTGCACTGGGGGCTTGCATTTTAGGAATTTAATGGTTTTAGGGATGTGCTTTTCAAAGCATGGGGTCCAGAGATGCCACATCGAGGCCTGTGGGTTGTTGAAATACAGACTTCTCAGCATGCATGCATCTCATCAGATCTGCACACAGATCCCAGAAAGTGCATCTCAGAGTCTCTACAACTGATTCTTTTGCATATGAAAGTTTGGAAACCACCAGTTGGACGTGGGTGGGTGGCATTTCCATGCAGATATTGTAACTGTCATGCAGCATGCTCTTATGTGCTGCCTCGGTGCGGCAGGTGTTTGCTACATCTTTGAGTGTGGCATTAGTTGTTCTGAGAACCATTCCTAACAGTAGGGCACCGAATTTAGCTGTTAAAAAGAAGAGATCTTCAGGGAAGTGTGCATGCCTGCCTCTTATTTTTTTTAAACCAGGAAGCTGTGCTCATGTTTCAATTCTGATTCTTTTAATCTTTGACGCTCAAGTCTATTGAGTAAGGAAGAGATTAGTTTCTGTTCATTGTGTTTCCAGAAGAAGCATATTAATGTAATGGTAAATAGACCTTTTTGGTTTTGTTTTCAACTAGGGGGAACACCTAGTTTGGAAGTTTTGTGGTTGAACCAAGAACCAGAAACACAGGCCCAGCGCCTGGACACACTGCTAGCCTGCTTCAACCTTTCCTCCTCTAGAGAAGAGCTACAAGAGGTTGAAAGTTCTTTAAGAGCTCTGTGCTGTCTCCTGATCTACCTGTTTGTCCAGGTAACATTGAGTTCTCTGCTCTCATTGCCATAACTTCTGTACTTTGGGTTCCATCTTCCTATGGTACGGTGGGCGTTTCCACAGTCATTTCCCTGAGTTGTCTTTTTCCATGCGCTAAAATATTAAGAAAGATCTGAGCGGAAATGTGACAGAGCCTGTCTGCTCTATTAAACCCTGGGTTGTGATGCACACAAGAATGTAGATGCTTTGGAAGTCTTGTGGGTCAGGAACTGCCTTGTTTTGGTTAAGCTTTCTCAGCTGTCATGCCCTGGTGTGTCCTTTTATCCTTGTGCATTTGTTGGGGGTGGCTGCTGGGAATGTTGAAATGATAGAGATCTTGCTGTATCCCAGCTTCTGCATTGGTTGCACTGTGCCTCTGGACAAATCACTTCAGTTCACCTTCCTCCAAAACTGTCTGCTGAACAATTTTCTTTCTAATCAGAAAACTAAATAACAATAGCTTCTTTCTAGGGTTATTAGGTGTTCACAGTCTAGAAAACACCTAGTAAAATGTCTTCTCATCTACTAATTACCTCGTTTCTCATTGTTAATGTCCTCTTCCCATCCTGTTGGACCTGGGTACGCTGGCCACAGGCTGCACAGGAGGAAGTGCAGTTCCAGGTCCTTCCGCTTAGTGTCACACAATAGGTTGTTCTATTACTTCTTCCTTAGCATTATATGTAGTTTGTGTAGGAAATCATAAAAGGCTGTTAAAAGCTTGTTCTTGTTAATAGTCTTGTACGTTTGTGATGATGTTGGACACCTTAATAAAAGAAGGACTGAAGATACCTTTTATCCATAACCCTGCCCTGATTAACAACTTCTAACCCCTTTCCTGCTTTTGTTTGAAGATGAATTTGTCTTTGGCTGGTGAATATCTGCTCTATTGCTGTGGAGACTTTCTCACAGACCCTCTCAGCCCTGCAGGCCATGCTGTCCACTCTCCTCTCCCTCCGGAGTGGGTCTGCTGCTGCATATCCATTCAGTTTTCACTTGCCTAGAGTAGAACGTTGTGTAGTTTTTGGTTGTCTTTGAGAAATTTACCCTTATTGTGGAATTCTGTCTGCACACTGACACTTCCTTTCTTTGTGTCCTCTTATTCTGTAGCTAATGAAACATTTTACATTTTGTAAAAATGTGGTATGGTTAAATAGTTCTTCAATATTGGTTTCATGTGCACTGGCATTAACTCTAATTTTTGTGTTACTGTTGAGTAGAATACTACTTTGTGTGAGGCTTAGCAATATTAATTTAGGATGGCTAGAATTTTGAGATATTTAAATGTTAAAACATTTCCTAGTTCTTCTATTCTCATTAGTTGTGCAAATGATTGTCATTTACTAAAATCCATTCAGGCAAAAAAAAAGTTCAGCATCCCAGGGCACAGCTTCATATCCCTCTTTATATAAACTCTGAAGCAAGGTAAGCATTGAAGGAAAGTTTTCCCTCCCTCCTCCTGTTGACAGTGACCTGTAAAGTCAAATCTCAGTGTAAGTTGGCACGAGGAGTTGTGGTTTGACCTTAAAGAGGTTGTTGAGTCAGACTTTTTTACAATGAGAATTCAGCAAATCAACATGTCATTGGTATCTGTTAGTGAAAGGTGATGCTGTGTATTCTTCCACAAGCATGATTATTCTCTCAGAATTAGGCTAGAGAGATAAGTTTATAAAATATTATGGTTTCGTATTGTTGAGCTGAAATGAGCTGTTTCTTTATACAGTGTGCTATAAAATTGCATGCCAGTCAGTATATGAAAACTGCAAAAAAAGTAAATACTCTGATCTGGGTCGACCTCCAAGTTAACAACAAGAAGATTTAAGATTACTGATCTAAGGAAATCCTCTGCAAGGTGTTACAGAAATGATACATGTTTTATATAATCTATAATAGAGCAAGTGCTTTATAACATGCTACCTAATCATAGCCACTACTGAAAGCCTAAGCAATTGGATATTACTAAGAATCTTTGGAAAATTTAGGTAAATTTTAGATTTGTTAGCTACAAAAGTGATGGTACAGTGTAAAATTGGTTACTTGTAAGAAGATTTGACATATGAAGGAGTAACACTGTTCTCTAGGCTGGTGTTTTAAGATTACTCTTAAAGAGTTTCTAATGGCAAGAAGTAATTATACACCAGTGAACCTCAGCCTAAACAGAAATGGGCTTTATGAACTTAAAAAAATATACCCAGTGCTTATAAGTCCTGTACATTTGCACATCCCTCACCCCCTGAAGTAATTAGAATTGTATAAAGGTGATGTGCCTTTGGAATAAATGTGGAGCAGCGTAGCACAGGTCAGTGGCAGTTATGCCTCTGCCTGGATAAGTGGCTTGTGCCTCAAAGAGGCATCTTTCCAGGAGCATTTCAAGGGTAGGGTCAGCAGTGATCCCCAGCCAATGGTCTTTGTAGTTTGTGGTGGGTCATTTTATCAGGAGTAGATAGACTAGAATTTATCATCCAGGAGGAATTGGATCCACCATTTTTCTCCTGTTTCTTTCCTCCCAGCCTTTGTTGGAAGGGGCTGTTGTGTGATTTTGGAATTGCTCAGTAAGTAGATGCCACAGTGCTTCTAGCTTGGTGGCAAATGTGATGTGTGATGGCTGAGAGAGGATGGTGGCAGCCTCAGAAGTACAAAGCAGAGAGGGCAGAGGTACAACCTGTCTGTTCTCTTTGGGTCTCCTCAGCTTATAATGACTTGAGACCCTGCTAGTCCCACTCTTTTTTTCATTGTTTCTCTGTCTTTCCTTGTTTCTCTTTCATGGTTTTGAAAAACTTTTTGATTCCACAAAGAATGGAAAGAGTTCATGCTGTTGACCTTGCTTTTCTTCAGTCTGGGATGTGAGGACAAAATTTCCATCCAGGGAAGTCAAAGGTGGATGTTCCCACAGTCCTGGCTACACCAACCCAACCTAACTGTGGGTGCTAGGTCTGGAAATCTCTGAATTGTCTGCCCTGTGCAATTTGTGCTACAAAGGTTTGCCTGTATCGCACTGCGGAGTATCTTTGTGCGCCTATGTGTATATATTTATGCTAACTGATTAATTTACAAGAAGTGTTGGATTTTATTTTCAGTAGCCTAATGCTGGACTTTCTTTGTCCTTTTCAGGTGGACACTCTTTGCCTGGAGGATTTGCATGCGTTTATTGCTCAGGCCTTATGCCTCCAAGGAAAATCGACTACACAGCTTGTAAACTTACAGGTACATACATGGCCAGTCAGTTGTCACAGCCCTTAAGACAGTAATACTGTCCAGTCTTTTCCCCATTGTGGTTGGTACTTCACAAAAAGGGTAAGGAAGGCAAGTTTTGTGAACATCTACATGAAGCAGCTCTTAAGCACTCTGGAATGAGCACTGGGTTAGATACTGACAACTGCTGCCTACCTGCCAATTGTGAAGAACTTAACTGTTTCTCAGTACCATTCTAATGGTCATGTTTGTCAGCCTCTCTGGTGTTAGGGAAGGTGTCAGTGCCTTCTCTGATGTTAGCATTTTTTTTTGACCTGTCTCACTTACTGTGTGAGTGGGAGGGCACGGCTACCCTGCCCTTCCCTGTCCTTGCCCAGCACCTGTCATTTTACATGCACTTTGAGTCTCTGCTGTCTTGTCCTCCATGTACAAATGAGGAAATCATAGCTCCTGAGGGCCTGTGAACAGCAGGGTGGCTCTGGGTCTGTCACGTAGAGCTGCTGATCTTAAACATACAGCAGCTAAAAATGGCCTTAAAACTATATATGCATTTACATCATTATTAAAAATTTAGAGGGCTGGTGGAATGGCTCAGATGTTAGAGTGCCTGCCTAGCAAGCGCGAGGCCCTGAGTTCAAACCTCTGTTCCACCAAAAAAAGAAAAAGAAGTTAAAAAAGAAAATCAAGTAATTGGATTGAAATTTGTGAAGGTACACACTATATGTTTGTGTATGTAGTCAGTTTTCCATATCCATACGTTTCACAACTCACCAGGGGTTGAAAATATTTTTTAAAAAAGTGCACCTGTGCCCAGTGCCAGTGGCTAATGCCTGTAATCCTAGCTACTTGAGTGGCTGAGATCAAGAGAATGTGATTTGAGGCCATCTCCAAAAATAATCAAAGAAAAATGGACTGAAGATGTGGTTCAAGTGGTAGAGTGCCTGCTTTGCAGGTGCAAAGTTCTAACCCCAGTCCCACCAAATCAAAAACAAAGCTGCACCCATATTAAACATGTGTAGACATTTTTTCTTGTCATTATTTCCTAAAGAATACAGCATAACAATTACTTATGTAACATTAACATTGCATATTATATATGTTAATTAACACTAACATGTTACAAGTAGTATAGATGTGATTTAAATTTAACAGGAGCATATGCATAGGATATATCCAAACACTGGGTCATTTTGTATGAGGGACTTGAGCATCCATGGGATTTTGCTGTCCAAAGGTGTCCTGGAACTAATCCCTTACAGGTTACTGAAAGACAGCTATATATATATTAATTTACGTGCATAGAGATCCACTATTTATGAAATCACGGAATATAAAATCCCTTAACTTGAAGTATTTATATAAAGCAAGAAAACAGAATTACTTACAGTTTTATTCTAAAAAAAACAAAACAGCTTTTGTTTACAATGTGCAAAGGGCAGTCCTGCACATGCAGGAGGCTGCTGCTCATCCTTGCTGAGGTTATGCAAGAGATAGGAGCCTGATCCTGGAAGGGACTGTCCCTTTTCCTATTTGTAGCTTTGTCATCTCTGGATGCAAGTCATGTATTTCCTGGTCTTTCTGTTGATGGGTATGTCTGTCATTATGAGCTTCCAGCTAGTATTCTAAAGGACAGGTTTGCTTATAGTAAGTAGTTCAAATAGGGCACATTTCATAATACATAATTGGTGCAGCCCATGTGAAGATAACACACATAGATAGATTTGGGATTTGAGTTAGAATCACTTTCTAATAAGGAAGTAAAGTAAGTGAAAGAATAGATTGGATTGTATGGAAGTAGTAATACGAAGTCTCTCTCTTTGAAAGTTTTAAGAGTGGAGGGTAGAATCATGCCCAAATAATTTAAGATGAGTTTGCTAGGGTAGAGGAGTAACCACAAACTCTGGTGGCCTCATAAGTCTGTGTCTGAGGTATGCTGTGAAGTCTGTGCCCCTGTGGACTCCCCCCTCTCCCCGTCCCCCACTCTGTGTCATTTACTTCCCCAGTCCATTCACTGTAATGGGGAGGAGGAGCCCCACCCCTAGAACCAGGAGTGCTTGTTCAGGATTCCATCTGCACTAAGCATCTTCTGACTGTAGCATACCATCTCCTGTCTAGAACTGTGAAAGGGGAGAGTACTACCTTGCCTGCCTTCAGTGCTTTAGACTGATGTTTTCCCAGAGTAAGTTCCTCTTTGAAACATAGACAGTGTGGCTATGTTATCTGTCACTGAGCCATATGAGTTCATACCACATGCCTTGGTGGGGCCAGAGCTGGTGTCTGCCCCCAGCAGTGCCTTTTATACCTGCTCCTGAACTAATGTGCCTGGTGACTTCAGTTCAGCATTGTCTTCTTTTGGCAAGAGGCAGCAAAACTCCTTCAGCTTTCTTTGCCCTTTTTTTGCCCTCTTTTAGGTCTCACCCCTTCCTGCCAGCTTAGTCTCCAGCCTCCTTTCAAATCAAAGGCTCTCCATACCAGAAACTTCTGGATTCTTCACATGGAGAATGTGGTGACTTGGCCTTATGGAGGAGATGCCAGCCACCTGTTCTGGTCTCATAGCCACTCATTAGGGAAGTTCTTAGTTGTATTTTAGCTGAGGAACTAAAAAGAAAAGAGCATGAGTTGATGAAAGGAGGAATCCTGTTATAAAATTCATGTTGTGTCCCATTAAGAAGTTACCTGTTCTTATCTGTGAGAATGGTTCAGAAGTTCCCAGATGTGGCCATGGAGCACAGGCAGGACCAGGGCTGGCTGGTGCATTTGAGGATCAGCATCAGTGGCACCCTGAAAGACTGAAGAGTCTTGAGAGGGAGAGAGCACACTGTGTGCACACTGTTGTTGCAGCTGTGAAAGTGCTGGGTGACTGTTGTCCATGCCAGCACTGCTGCTGTTAAGCATTCTGCAGAGGCCTCAGACAGGACCTTGAGTCCTTGTATTCAAGGATGCTTGAGTACCCTAGGATGCTGCCTGTTTGGGGGCCCAGTTACTTAGGGCCAGCTTTGTGGAGATAGTGTGCAACCAGTTGAATATGGTGCTTGCACTGTAAGCTCCTACCAACAAAGCATTCATTAAACATGGCTTCTTGAAATTATTTTCTTACTGGGGTCTCAGTTATGCCAATTAAAACAGCTATCTCTTAACTTCAATGCTCTAATGACCTATAAATCTCTGTGAACTTCTGGACAGTGCACATACTATGAACATTCATACTTTGATAACTTAAGTTATAAAGATTTGAGAGGTGATTTGGAAGATTACTTAAAATATGTCAGCTTCACTATTCACTACATATGTATAGGGCTGCTCTTAGTCCTCAGGGCTTTGGGGAAGGCCTTGGGCCCAGTCCCACTATCCCTTCTATGTCTGTCTTCACCTTTATCCTCTCTCTTTAACTCCATTGTTTCTGATGGCTCTGCTCCCTGGTTGGAATATTCCAGTGCTTCCACTTAAGGAAAAATCCCTCTTGTAGCAGAGTTTCCACTCCATCTGTTGTTGCCCTTGTCGAGTCTTCAGGGGCAAGCTGCATGTCATAATTGCACATTGACTGTACTTCATTTCCTCTTCAGCCCCTTCCAGGAAGAACTCTCCCATACTGCAAGGAATTGCTGAGGCTAAGGTGAAAAAATACCTAACTGCCACATCCAGTGGGTACTAGTCTGCTGGTGTGTGTGTGTGTGTGTGTGTGTGTGTGTGTGTGTGTGTGTGTGTGTGTGTGTGTGTGTGTATGTGTGTGTGTGTGTATCTAGATAGAGACACAGATGTAGGTGGATTTAGGCTGTTCCTAACTATTCCTCTTTCCTCCTCCCTCCCTTACTGTTTTTTCTGTCCCTCCCTCCTTCCTTCCCTATTCCTGTTTTTCTCTTTCTCTCTTTCTTTCTCTCTCTCTCCCTCCCTCCTCCTCCTGCTTCTCCTCTTCCTCCCTCCATTTCTCCTTCCCTCCCCCCATCTGTGTATGTGTAGATAGAGACACAGATGTAGATGGATTATTTGGGCCAGTGTCACATTTCCTTATGGAGGCAGAGGGACCCTGCGGCCCAATCTAGCCAATAAGGCAGGAGAGAAGGTTAGGGTATTAGAGAAAGATTTTGCTTATCTAGATTTTCAGCTGTTCCTAAATGGTCAGGACCATGCTGTCCTTTTCTGCTTGAGTATAGACAATGTTTAGAACTGCAGTAACCCTCTTTCTACACAAGGAGAAAATATTAACACTCTTAACAAATGACAGAAAGAGCCTGGGTCTGAGATGATACTAACTCTGATATCATTGACCCCTGCTTTTGTATCCAGTAAGCTGTAACTGTTCTCATTGTTTCTGCCGCTGTTATTTGTAGTATTCCTATGTTTAATGTATCCCTCCTTCAGAATGACCATGCTTGCTATGGCACATCTGCAGGTCCAGGCTTGTTTCAAGTGTCTCACTTTTAATAGCCAGCCCATCAATGCTCAAGAGGAGCTGCATGGTAAGTCAGGTCAGAAATCTTCAAGGCCATGCCCACAAGGTGAACTTTAGATAAGAAGCAGAAGTTTCAGGGACATCCGAGGAGAGGAGGTCAGGGCAGAAAGAGCTACAGATTCAGAGCCTCAGAGAGGGTGGGCATGACAAGCAGGAGGAGAGTGAGGAGGAGATGGGCATTGATTCCCCTTCCTCCCACCCTGCCATCTGTTGAGGCTTTTTGTTGTAATGGCTCTCTGCAAGTGCACAACCACACCAGAGAAATCCCGGGAGCATGCTCTTTGATAACTGGTAACTTCCCAAGGGGGGTGTAAATCTTATTTCTACATCTATTTCTGAACCAAATGCTAGTTTGATTGGGGGTGGGCTTCTCAAATCAGCCATGGACTCGTGTTCACCCTGGTGAATGGAGGGAGGATAAGCCCTAGTGTGTGTCAAGGAGGGTTGCATGGAGTAGGGGCTGAAAAACTTCCCAGAGAAAGGAAACTTGGCAGTAGGGAAAGTGTCATTTGCAGTACTGTGAGAAAAAATGGAGGATACTGGGAGAGTGTATGACAGTCAT